CAAATGAATATGCTATACCAGGTGGTATGGTTGACAAAAAAGAAAGAATTACTGATACATTACAACGTGAATTTCATGAAGAAGTACTTAATTTTCCCAATAAAGATGAATCTAGTAAAGAAAATTTAATAAGAATAGTAAAAAATATTTTTGAAAATGGTGGTACAAGAATTTATTGTGGTTATGTTGATGATCCAAGGTATAGAATACAAATGAATAGTCACTTATGATTAATTTTATTGATTTTTTTGTTTTTTTTTTTAGAAATACTGATAATAGTTGGATGGAAACAACAGGTAAGAATATTAGAAATAAATTGAGCATGATTTTGAGGGATATGGATGTGAGTGAAATAAAGATTAATTTGAAATCTTGATTTTATAAGAAATTTTCTTTGTTTTTCTTTTTTTAGCATATAATTTTCATGATGAAAATAATGAACATCTTGCATTAATCGATGTTCAAGCTGGTGATGACGCAACAAATGCATTTTGGCACGATCTTGATTCTCAAATGCCATTATTTGCAAGTCATGCTGACTTTCTTAGACGAGTTGCTCATTTACATAAGGCACATTGGTGACATAAAAATTAGGTTCTATATGTGTTTGGTATATGTATTGTTTTATTGTGATAGTTTTTTTTTTCTTATATACATATAAGAAAAAAAAACCAAGAACAAATATGTTTAGTTATTTGATTGTTCTAAACAAATCTTGTTTTGTTTCTAAATATTTTTAATGTGAGAATGGTTATGTAACTTTCTTTTTATGGTTTACCTTTATTCGTCTTAATGTGATAAATTAATGTTGATAGAAGCTTGACAATAGTTGAACTGTTTGAATTGTATTTTCTTAACTATTTTTAATATTTGATAGATAACAAATCAAAGTTGCAAACAGGTAAATACAAAATCAAAAGTGATACAACTAAACTCACTGGGTGCTCTTTTTTCTATAAAATAAAATTGAATTTTAACTGTTTCGAACAAAATTTCGTGTCCTACAAAAACTATTAACTCTGTTTACAAAGGGTGTGGATGGATAAAGGTAAAAGGATAACCTTCAGCCACACCCGATCCTTCGTTTCTTTTATTTATATATTTTTTCTGTAGATTATTGTTGCTATTTTTCTGTGTTTATTTATTTATGGTATTCAATAAATTTATTCTATATTATTTACATCATATGAATTATCTGTTTTCTCTGTAAAACCAATATGTTTAATGTTGTAATCTTATGTTTCTATACACTTAGTGTACATCATAAATGCTGACGAAAAATAATAATGAAATTTCGATGCGAACTGTTTGTTATCATATGTGATGGTAATATCAGATTACATTTTGTCTTCGATTTATATCCTCTTTGTTTTTCTTCTTTCTTTTTTTTTGCTTGTCTCTTCTAATACCTAGCTGCCTACACATATTAGAATATGTAAAAAATAGTGTCGATAGAATAGCAAAGAAGCACATAAATGAGTTCATCCATATTTTTACTTCAGTAATTGTTCAGTAGTGATTGTTCGACTTAATCAAACGAAATCTAAGTAAACAAAACAATTTCAAATCGTTGTATCTGGTTGTGAACAACTTCATGCATTGTTTGAATAACGAAGAATATTAAAAAAATGGTTCGATAAGTGAATTCAACGAATGAACTTGTATATCAATCATTAGAATGATTATTTCAAATATTTAATGAAACGATAACTCGATGAACTTATTTATGTATGTTTGTTTAGTTCTATCGACATCACTGTTTTAAGAGCCAAATAAGGTATAGACGGGTATACTTTTTAGAAGACTAGAAAAAACAAAGAAGAAAGACAAAGGTGATGCACATCAAAGACTAAATGTGATCTAATACTACTTTGATACATCATTACAAACAGCTCATTGACATTTTATACGCTACTCGCAATTAAGAATTTAATTGGCAAAAATTCATTGCACGAGAAAAATCTTCGAATCAGTCCTAAACTAAGTTATGAACAGATTTCGATAAGATAGTTTGTTAATTAAATGATCATTTGACATTTATTTCATTGAACTTAATAGAATGCTTTGTCGCACGTTCTCTATCATTGACACTAAGTTTGATACCAGTCAAACAATCATCTGTATATTCATCAAGACGAAATTCAAGAGTTAAATGATACAAGTTGATAGGTTGAGAAGTTTTCTATGCTCTCATATCCGTATGTGCACCTATGATATATTGGTAGAACAAATACGTTAAGGCTCCTTTCTTAAAAAAGTCACTTTTCGCCATAATCATTGAAATTGAGATACATACATGGAGAAATAGCCTCTCATCTGCTCTCTCATATGCGATAACAATTTTTATTCGACATCTCTTTTTTCCAAAAATTTTGGATGATTTTTCTCATCGCCTATTCGAAAAACAAACCGTTTTAACAAAAAAACCGAAAATCATTTTTCATTTTTTTAGAGCATAGGTTCAAGGACGTATCTTCAATAGAACTCTCGCACAGTAAGAGATACAGTCAAATATTTTTTTTTGTTTGAAAGCTTGTATTCAGGGTTAGCGACTCTCGTGGCCCTTTTTGTAAAATAAGCTTCTTTATCATCATAAAGGATAACACGTTTATCGGAACAGCGCAATTTTTAGAGAGGTTTTTTGAGTCATTGAACTTTCGCTCCGTTTTTTTCCCTTAAAAAGTAAGTCTTTAGAAAAAAGCCCACGAGAGCCGCTCCATCCTGATATACTCTTTAAAACAAAAAAAAATTAAATGTCTAGAATGAAGGCCCACAGAGAAAACTTAGAGGTACGATAGAGCTATTTTTGGTCCATCGTTGGTAAATATCTCTGTTGAACATCGTGCTATAGAGCTTAAAATTTTGTCATATCTATGGCTCACCAGCTTCAACATGCCCTGAAAGTTTCATGCCATTTGGATATTTCTGGGTTGAGATCGATTTTTAAGGGGGCCTTAAGAATTACATATTAACCAGACTTGAGCACAGGACAACTTTTTCTGTTCTATCCTGCCCTGATCGCTGCCTGTGTCTTGGTGGGCAGCAGAACAGAACGAAAATTAATACTTTGTCCTGTCCTGTGCTCATCTCTGACACTTACGTTAGATTTTTATTGCTGGGCGCATTATACTTTTTCATAAACATATAACATGTACGTATGTAGCTCATATTTTGGTCATTTGTAAACTTTATTAGACAAGTGTCCATTTTTATAGGGCTTAAATACTTTTCAACATGCGTTTGACTTAATCAGGTGATTAACTCGTTAACTGACATTTGGTTTTTGAACCTATGGTAAACTTTTTCAAAAAAAAGCTTTGAATAGTTCATAGATTTTTATGGATTATAAGATAGAGAACTTCTACGACGAAGAGATTCATTTTCTCTGGAAAACAGAAATTTTTTTCCAATAAAAAGCAGAAAAAAACTTTATCCTGCAAAACTGTTTTCGAAACTCAAAGTTTTGTTCAAACATTCAGCACGATGTGATACACACGAAAATATGGAACAACACAAAGTGCTGCAACGTTGCAAATAGCACATTCGTATCTCGATTCATGTCTTGCTCGATTGTTTTTGTTTTCTGTATGACGACAAACATAACATCATCTTGCTGCATGCTGTTTGTTTTCAGTGGGAGAGACCAGTGATGGAAAGTGCCTTGAAATCAATCGTGCTGATGTAGGTTCATTTGATGGTCTCCCCCTTCTAACTGACTGCATCGGAAGATTATGTTGTAAGTTTTGTGCCAGTAGAGAAAGAACAAGCTCTATACGAAATTGAAGTTGTATTATTACGCCGTTGCTTGTTTCCTGAGTTTGTATTTTATATAAAAGATACATGTATGAATTCAATATAGCGAAATCAAGTAAGATCATAAATATTTTCTTATAATAGTTTTTCAATCTTTTTCGACGAATACGGTAAGAAGCTAACATTTGATCAGTCAGAGCGATCCCACTCATTGTATTATATTCATGAACACATGTAGGCTTTCAACTTGATTTTGTCTATTCTGAATGATTATGGTATTGTCTTTATGGTATGTTGATAACATATCTCTTTTCACGCCATATCAATGCCATCACCTTTTTATAATATCTTACTATTCGTTCGTTCTTGTCAAGCTTTGAGCTTCTCATATCAAGTGGAAGACTTTCGATTTGAGCGAACTGTTCCGACTGCATCTGTCTTTCTTTTTACTAATTCCAGAAACAGTTGTGGTAAGGAGTAATAATTATCCATTATGATACAATGTCCTAAATCTAAATAATCTTCAACCAGTGTCCTCACTATTCGACTCGATAAAGGTAAATCATTAAATATTTCACTATAAGTCGTATCGCGACCAGTATAAATAATGACATCCAGAATATAATCATTTATATCAGATAACATGAAAAAATTAAATCCAAACTCTGCTCTTTTTAAAGAAATATACTGTTTCCATGATAGAGAACCTCTGTACAAATCCAAGCTTTCGTCAACATTTTAAAATCTTCCTGGTTTGTACAGTCTCTTGAATGATGAACGTAGAACGTCAATAACTGGTCAGATCTTTTTCAATGTAGTATCAGGACCTACATCAGTTTCGAAATGCAACATCTTGAGTGCTATTTGGAATCTATCAGCAGTTATGGGTGTGGGTGGGTGTAGGGGTGAGTATAGGTGAGTGTGGGTGGCTGTGGGTGTGGGGAGAAGTGTCGGTGGGTGTGGCTGTACGCTGTGGGTGGCTGTGGATGTGTGGTAGGATGTGGGTGTGGGTGGGTGTGGATGTGGGTGTGAGATGGGTGTGGGTGTGCAAGAAAATATTCCAGCACTCGTGCCCACACCCACACCCGCCACCCCACACTCATACCCACACCCACACTCACACCCACACCCACACGCCCACACCCCACCCACACCCACACCCACACCCATATATATATGCATATATTTTCGTGTTTCTTTTTATCATTAAAATGTTTTACAAGTTCTCTTGATAATGATGATTAAAATCATCGAAAGCTTGAGCTAATTTTATTTTTATCTTCTGATTTCGTAATACTTATTTTACCTATCAATAAGATTAAAATTAAAGAAATTACAAATGTTCTTTGCTGCTGTAAAATCAATACTTTATACCTCCAACTGTACATTTAAATGGACTACCAGCAATATTAATACCAGCAAATTTAATTGAAATAAGATAATCTCCACGTGCTGTTGGTGTAAATGTAACACGATATCCTAGAAAAATTATAATATTTAAATAATTCTAAAATAAACGAAGTGGCAATATCTAAATGAATTTGCCTTCAGTTACTTCTCTACGATCAAGTTGAACTTTTGATGGTCCATCAACTGTAACAGCTAATGCACCAGCACCAGCATTTGTTGTATCAATTAAAAATTCACATGATTGTCCTTCAAAGAAAATTTTTTTTCAAATATTCAAATTAAAACATAAAGAGAAAAAAAGATTTTCTTAATCTTTACCAGTTTCTCCTTGATATAAACCAGAACCAGAAGCAAATACTCGACCTGGATCAGCATTAGCTTGGCCAACAACAATACGAAATGGTGAATCAGGTATATCACGTCCATTGAAACGAACATATATCCAATGAATACCATTTTCTTTAGGTACAAATCGAATAGCATAATGATCATCACCCATATCTTGTACAGTGCATGATTCTTCCACTCCACTTAGTGCTATTATACGAGCATCAACATAACCACGTGCACCACTAACATTAACAGTAAATGTATATTGTCGATTTACATCAAGACCTTTG